AATCTTATTCAATATCCTTGACAGGTGGATGTCAGGTGGTGCATTCTCGCCTTGAAAGACTCCTTTAAGTTAATTAGAAAGCTGTTTTTATGATTATGTTTGTCAATTTATATTTTTAACGATAAAAAATGCATTGTTGAACAGGTTTTTGAAAATTTTATTTATAGATAATTGCAGCAAAAGCCTCAAACCTTTGAAATACTAGCAGACTTTACCCAAACCTTTGATTTGTTGCAGTCGTCACCCCTAACATTTCCAAATGTTGCAAGTGAAGGCCTTCTGAACGGTCTCCATCCACAATTCCGTCAGTTGACAAAAAATTTAACTTTGACCACATTTTTAATATTTTAAAAATGGGCAAAATAGTAACTTTATATTTATCAAGTTAAATAATTAAACTAATTAAATTAAAAAATAAGAAATAACAAAAAAAAATCGTCTTCTTCTTCTCACACCCCCCTCCCACCCTTCCCCCACCTTAAACCCAAAATCAGCCACCCAGCCACCTCCACCTCCACCTCCACCTCCACCTCCATCTCCACCAATTAAAAACTGAAAAAAGAGCTTCTACTGTACAAAAGTATCTGCAATTGCCTAAAAATAATTATCAAGATTTTTGGGCAGGATCTGAATTCAAATGGTGCTGGTTACAAAGAAAAATTAGAGGTTCAGAAAGTCGCTGACAAACCTTGTTACGAGCTTGCAAATGGAACCAGGTTTTCTTTCTTTGGTGCTGTTCATATTAGTGTGCTATTCAACAAGGCTGCTGTTCATAAATACTCCAAACTCATGAAACAAAACAATAATCTAATAACCAAAAAAACTAACCTATTACATAGATATTATCCAAAACGATGAACCCTACACCAGATCCAAAATCTTAAGCCCAATTAATCTCAAAATCCTAATCCGGCCTACTACAACTTCATCTTCTTCCATCGACTACACCTACCTCTAACAGCCGCCTGCCACCACAAGCTCCCTCACCTGCACTTCATTCATCTACGCCGCCGATTGATCCACAACAACCAAAAACACTATCATCTCCGTCTCTCCCGACAAGCATCAACTCTTCATCTAACCTATTATCGATAACGATGTCTTCTCTCCCGTCTGCAACCTCTTGACCAGCAACTCACACATCATTCAGCCACTTCACACCGCCATCCACACACAAATCGCCACCTCCAATGATCCTCCACCTCCAATCATAGGATCAATAGACCCTAAAATCTAAGTCATAACCCGAGCATCTTTGATCTTCCAGTTTGCCAATTCTTTAGGATCCGTGGGAGCAGGATCACCTCCATCAATATGAGCCCATAATTCCTTTCTAGTAATGAATAAATGAAATTGAAATTCCTAGGTAGAATAATTTGTACCTGTGAATTTCACGCCAAAAAATTCTGAATTTCCAATAGACATTGTTAAAATAAAATACAAGACCAAATGAAATACTATTAAGCAGCTCCAATAAAAAAAAGCCCAAACCCTCAGCCCGTTTGGCCAAATTAGAAATGAATTTCAAAAGACCATGAACCAACCACAAGCCCAAACCCTAGAGCCCAATTAAAATCAATTTCACAAGAACTGAGTCCAACCACGAGCCAAACCTCACAGCCCCTCTCGCGATCGATGAACGAAATCCCCGAAAGCGACACCAAAAGATTCTGACCGGCAACGACAAGCGCTGACGCGAAGAGCCAGAGTCGACGACACAGAGAGAGACGACAATCACAACGGCTCCACACAGAGACTCCCGAATTTGACAGCTACCACGGTGATGTGATCCACCAGGTGAGTCAAGAAATTAAAATACCCAGAATAGGCCTCTTTTAGACTGAGGCTCCGTTACCATGTCAACACAGTTGATTTTGGTTTGAATGCCTCTCCAAGTGAGAGTTCCTTCAATTTATAGTATGAGAACTTCTAATTACAAGGCTGAAAATCAGCCATTACAATGGTCTCGCCTATCAATTGCACTAATCACTCCAATTACACTAATCACGTCAATCTCAGAAAGGAAAATGTGTACTAATTACATATTAAT